AGGCAACCGGTTATTCGGCAGATTATGAATTTAAACACCTTCTACTTTAGCCGATTTTCTAATTGGGAATGGTCTCTCTATCATTAATAATAAGCCCGTGGGTACCCACGGGCAGTGTTGGGCTTGGGTATTGGACATAGACATTGGACCACATTTGTCCAGTCCAGTCCAATCCATTGGACCAAAAAGTATTGGACAATGGATATTGTGTAATATATAAATCAACATATATTGGACATATTGGACTGGACATATGTCCAAGTCCAGTCCAGTCCAATAGCATAAAAATAGTTAGACATATGTCCAGTGCCAACACTGCCCACGGGTACCCGTGGAATTTGCGGGCCGAACTAGGGCATCAATTTTTGATCCCTAGGGCAAGGGTGAAGGTTCAGAAGTCAAGTCCTTACACAAACGGCTAGGGCTGGGTATTGTCATTATCCGGCCCTACTCGGTCCATGCGGAGGCCTAACTCCGGCCAAATAAAAAATCAATTAGTACCTCTAGAATGGCTACCAATTAACCAAAATATACTTTGACTAGTTGTAATTTACAGAGGAATTTGATTTTCTTTACAAAAATTTATTACCGGTACATACCCTTCGTAGGCAGCAGATTTGATTAAAGTAGTACCTTTTCTATGCCTTTATAATACATATTTCCAACATTAAAAATGGCATGTGGATTCCCTTTATCAGCAGCTTTAGAAAAATATTTAAAAGCTAAGCCAAATTTTTCGTTACACTTATACCATTACACAAATAACTTGCATATTGAATTTGTGCCTTCATCATGTCCCCTTCATCGGCTGCTTCTTTAAATAAATTTGCAGTTTGTTTAAGTCGATCTTCTTTATTAACACTAAGACGTATTATGTTGTTAGAAAGATAGTGTCTTTGTAATATTTAGCTGTCGTATCGCCTAATGTAGAATAGAATTCGAATGATCTTCAGGCTTCGTTTATGTTACCATCTTTTAAACTGTGCTGTTTAATTGCTTCTTCGATTGGCATAATACTTCTGATAAAAGAAGCAAGTGTCGGAGGTGTTTTTTTGTTTGTGGACGTATCTGAATTTTCACTTAAACTTTTTAAGTTTGAAAAGTATTCTCTCAAAATTGAGACGTTTACATGGATCATGCTCTGTTGCTATAAATGGTTAAATTTTAATATTGAAAAATTTATCGAAATACTCTTAGTATATATTTATTAGCACTGTCACACTTATTGGGTAAAAGTGATCAAACATATGTACCTTTAAAAAGAAGCTTTTTCCATTTTTCAGGTACATCATTTCTAAATGTTAATGGAAGTGGAGTTTTCAAAATTTCGGTCTCTATGATATGTGTTTCAATATTTGAAAATGGAAGATCCGTTTCAGTGATCTCCCAAAGTAGAATTCCAAAACTAAGCATTAAAAAAAAATCATGAATTATGAACACAGAAATCTATTTTAAAGCAAATCATATCTAAAAACTTCATATCTTGAATCATATTTGTAATTACTATATTTTATTTTTTCAGGAGTCTTATATCTACTAGCATCAATGACGTTTTTAAGGTTTTTTGAAGCGTTAGCAAAGCGACGGCTCATACTACAATTGGCCAGTTTAGCATGTTTATAAGAGTCGATCATGATATTAGCACTTCGCACATCATGATGTAAAATATTGTATGCTTAAAAAAATTAAATCCACGTACAATATCTAACGCAATTTGTAGTTTTAGGAAGTTTTCAAGTTTTTCATTTCTATAATATTCTTATAAACTATCATATTTTGACCATTCAGTAACCAAATAAGTTTTTGATAGACGTTCATTTTCAACCATACCAAAAAATTGGATTATATCATGTGACTCTTGAAGTCTTTTTAGCATACTGATTTCAAAATAAAAGCCTTCCAGAAGGGAATTCATTTCAGTAAAAGCCGCTTCATAATTATCAGAATTTCTTATCCATTTTCGGGTATTACCACGCTCTTCCTCCGTTCTGGAGAAATTATGTAGATTTAATGGTTTTTCGATAATGTCTTTTTTTAAAGCATCCTCCGTTTGAGCTTCAATCATGTTTTTAGTACATTAAAATCTTCAAATCCTTTTAACATCACAGCAATTTTCTTAATATCCTCTTTGATTTCAGATACATTTTCTGTGAGATTAACGATACCCTCCTCAATATTATCAATAGAACCTGCTAATTGATCTTGATTGGTGTTTATACTAAAATTAGTAGTTGCCTTTTTTAAACAACCAAAAAAAGATAAGATTTGACGGATATTAAACCTGATTTGTTTCTTGTATGTCTTTAGACAACGCAGCTCTATCCCTTTCACCTTGTAATTTTAATTGATAGTAATAGTGTAACTCAAACTAGACATGTAACTATCGAATTCCGCAGTAAGTAACTTAAACGTTTCAGCAATGTTCTTACATATAAGATATTTCCACAATCCCTTAAGTTCGCATACTTTTTTAATAAATCCGCAATTTTTCTTATAAATTTACCAATTTTCATAAAGTAACAATATTTTGTTCTGTGAAAAATTCTTGACATTCTTTTTCACGAATCTCTAAATTATTTATTGCGGCTTCTGCAGCCTGAATTTTATTAAGAAGTACACCATAAATTTCTTTATTTGCTTCAGCGGTATTATATATATCAATTATTTCTTATACAATCGTGATAATATCACCGAATAAAGGTAAGAATTTGTTTATAGGGATGGTTATGAAATTTGCTATTTCACTTGCTTTTGAAATTTCTTCCATAGTCTTGTTTACGAAAATTTCACAAGTTTTATCTTTATCTTCCAGATTCTGAATGTAATTCTGTTATTGTTAAAAGTAAAGTGAGTTGCTATTTGCTATTTGTGAAGAAAAGATAATTTTAAGTTAAAAAAAAATCAAAAGGAAAGGTTAAATAGTTATACAAAACGTGTGTTGTCTATATGCGCGAAAATCAATAATGATACCCAATCGTAAGTTGGCTAAAGCCAGGTACATCACGGGATTGCCCGATATATAACCCGGATCAGCCCGTACAAAACAAAGCGAGACGACAAAGACAAAACACGAAAAATATAAAAAACGACTATCTAAACCGGTCTTGGTTCACTAAGTAAAAGTGTCGGAAATGCGATTTTACTATATTAACTGTTTAATCTAACCAACCATAATATTAATCGATTTTAATTAAAAAATCGGACAAAGCGGGTAATCTCGTGATGTACCTGGCTTTAGCCATCCCCCTTTAATCAGTTCAAGGCTAAATGTTTGCGAGAATTAGCACAATACAATCAATTACTATATTCAAATAAGATAGCTGCGCAGCACGCGGTGCCGCGCAGGACCAGTACGATCAGTTTCAGTAAAGTTTATGCATATGCATGTGAGTACTCAGGTATATACAGGATTGAGTTATAGTGACTAAAAG